CACTAAAAGTGTGGGCTTTCTCCCACACTGACCAATTCTCTGACACCAGCTGGGTGTCCTAACCGAACCCTATTCAGTTCTGACACTATCCACCTGGAGTTAGGGTCCCATCCCATAAGTTAGGGGATCAGTTCCACAGACTGCCGTCACTTCAGAAACTATTTCTGACCTACCAGATATAAATCAGAGGTTCCCATGACCCCCTCCTTGTGTTCAATAATTTGGTAGAATGGCTCACAGAACTCCAGAAAGTACTTTACTTATTTTTACCTATTTATTATAAAAGGATACATCTCGGGAACAGTCAGATGGAAGAGATGAATAGGGCAAGGCATGTGGAAGTGGGTACAGGGCTTCCATACCCTCTTCAGGCCTGCCATCCTCCCAGCACCAACCTACAAGCTCTTGGAACCCCTTTGGTTAGGAGTTTTATGGCGGCTTCATGATGTAGGCATGATTGATTAAATCATTGGCTGTTGGTGATTGAACTCAATCTGCAGCCCCTCCCATCTCTCCAGAAGTCAGGGCGTAGGGCTGAAAGTTCCAACCCTCTAAGCACATGGTTGGTACCCCTGGAACTAATCCCCCATCCTTAGGGGCTTTCCAAAAGTCACCTCATTAACATCTGCTCAGGTGTGGTTGAAAGGGGCTTATTATGAATAATAAAAGACATTTCTTTTACCCATATCATTCAGAAATTCCAAGGATTTTAGGAGCTCTGTGCCAGGAACTGGGACTGGATGAAGACCAAATATGTATTTCTTCTTATAGCACAATATTACAGGCCCACAGTCAAGTGTAGCTATGTACTTGACAAAGAGAGTAGAAGGAGAAGGGAAAAAAAGATTCAGAATAGAATAAAGGGGAAATGGAGAGGGGGCCAGAATCAGTATTCTGGGCAGGGCTGAACTCATGGGCACGTGACCTGTGCAGTCACACAGAGCCCTGCTCTCAGAATGGACCCAGCTTTTGGTTTAATGCCAGCATGCAGCTTCTTCCGTTGCGGAGCACAGGCTCCGGACGCGCAGGCTCAGCGGCCATGGCTCACGGGCCCGCCGCTCCACGCCATGTAGGATCTTCCTGGACCAGGGCACGAACCCGTGTCCCCTGCATCGGCAGGCGGACTCTCAACCACTGTGCCACCAGGGAAGCCCTCCTTGAACTTGTTTTGTAAGAGAAGTCCAGTGGGACGATGATGCATGTGTATGAGCGGAGAAGATACACCAGGTGGCAGCAAGCAGGCTCTGGCCATCAAGAACAGCAGGCAGTGGGCGGTATGGGTGCTGAGCAGTTGGCCTGGCCACCCCACGTGCACCCATTTGGCTGGGCAATCTGGGACACCGTGGGGCTGCAAGGGGCCAGGATCTGAGCCCAGATCGGCAGCAGTAGAAGATGGTAGCAGTCCACCAAGGCTGTGGTGAGAGAAGGAACCCCATATGGAAGCGCCCGTTCTGTAGCATATACACAAATATAAGCTCTGCGGCCTAAGTCTGGGACAGGAACTGCCAGCACTCACACAGTAAGATGTCAGTAAATTATCACAAAACTAAAGCATACACATGGATGTTGCAATAAAGCATATCAGGGAGTCATCAGAATTCATTAGAGCTAGAACCTCTGGTTGTAAAAACCGCTGCAGCATTGCAAAGCAAGTATTCACAGGCTTAGAAATATAAACTAAATTTAAAGATCATATTCTTCAGAAGAGAATTCTATTTTCACTGAAGTTTCATTATTAATGAAGAAGGCAATTTAAAATTAATTTTTCCTTGTAATCGAAGATAGAGCAAGCAAATGTATAAACAGGTTATTAAAATTATATACAGGGACTTCCCTGGTGGCACAGTGGTTAAGACTCCACGCTCCCAATGCAGGGGGCCCGAGTTCAAACCCTGGTCAGGGAACTAGAACCCCCATGCATGCTGCAACTAAGAGTTCTAATGCCACAACTAAGGAGTCCGTGAGCTGCAACTAAGGAACCCGCTTGCCTCAACTGAGACCTGGTGCAACCAAATTAAAAAAAAAAAATTATATACAAATCATGAAGTCACTCAGTTTCTTATACAACTTCCACAAGTTACAGAAAATGTTAGGGGAAACATTAAAATGTCACTGTATAACTTTACATATAAAATTAAATTCAGACACATGAAATTGGTTTGTATGAAGAGTTAAGTCTTTTTAGAAAAATTGTTCCACAAGAATCATCAGTTCTAGATGTACTAATATTTGATATATTTTGAAGTAGTTTATCAGAAATTTCTCCTAATGTGACAGCCTATAAAATATTCTTAACAACTCCAGTAACAACTGCATCAGCAGAAAGATCCTCAAAATTAAAAATTATAAAAAATTATTTGTGATCTTGCATTTGCCAAGAATGACTGTCATAGCTTTTAATTATGTCAATGGAAATGAAGTTGACAAAAGTATGTTTTGATGACTTAATAAATGAATTAAAAAAAAAGTAAGCCAGAATAATTTAATGATCGGATATCATATTAACAAGGTATTATTATTTATTGTATTATATAAAATTATGACAATAAAAAAATTTATTTTTCAATTTTAGGTTTATGGTGTTACTCATGTATCACTATTACCCCTTACTTATCATTATAAGTAATAAAATGGGCTTCCCTGGTATCGCAGTGGTTGAGAGTCCGCCTGCCGATGCAGGAGACACGGCTTCGTGCCCCGGTCCGGGAAGATCCCACATGCTGCGGAGCGGCTGGGCACGTGAGCCATGGCTGCTGAGCCTGTGCGTCTGGAGCCTGTGCTCCACAACGGGAGAGGCCACAACAGTGAGAGGCCCGTGTACCGCAAAAAAAATAAGTAAATAAATAAAATAAAATATTTTGAAAGGAAAAATCTTTATATTTTAGTACCTTTAACTGCACTTTTTTTTTTTTTTAACTTCTTTTTGAACAAGAGGCACTGCGTTTAACTTTGAACTGGGCTCTGCAAATTATGTAGCGGCCCTGATTCTGAAAACTAGTATTTTTTTCAAGGGTTTTCACACTTCTGCAAATTGTCCTGCCTCTGTGACAACACTTTCAGGCTTTTACAGACTTTCCTCCAGTCCAATGAATGGCCACCACGTGATAACTTTCTAAAACCCACATCACAGTGTGGAGCGCTGGTCATCTTGGAAGGCTGACGCTCTTCACTGTGATGTCCTATTCATCCCCTTTGGGGCGCAGTCTTCTCAACCTGAGACACTTTCCTCTGAATCGCTCCCCCACCCCCATCCCAGATGGCAGATCTGAGTCCTTTGATGTCAATTTTTGAAGTCCTTTGGCAATATGTGACAAGTGGTAACTGTAAAGAGTGGAGGGAATAACCTGAATAATGATGACGAGGACAGAAAGTGCAAATAGAGGACGGTGTGACTACTAAGTGATCACAATTCCATTAATCTTCTTGAAGACTGAGGGGAAAGGCTGTTACAGGTGAGCCCCGGGGTCAAGCAGAAGCTAGCGGGCTGGAGCCCGGCCCCACTGTGTCCCAGGGTTACGCTTCCTCACGCCGGGCTGGGGTGGGGGGACAGCAGCCTCAAGGGTGGGCCTTCCACGGGTGGTGGGGCTCTTCTGATTGCGAGCAGTTGCGGCCTTCAGGCCTCCTTAAAGCAAAGCAGGACAGAACCTGGGTAGGCTGAAACCCGCGGTTCTCCACTTTCTCCTGGAACTCGCGCCTCTTCCTGAGTCTCCGCCCACCCGATTGACCAGTCCCTCTGCTCCATCGCCGAGGGAAGCAACCTGATTGGCTTGGTCATAGTGTGGGGTGGGATGGGGGGCGGTGCTTTATAACAGCCATGGCGCCAAGGCCCTGGGACCCATCAGCCTGTGAAGGGGCGGCCCGTGGATCAGGTGTTCACCTCTGTCCAATCAGAGGCCTAGAGGCTATTTCCCAGGCCGGGACTACTGCGGAATTTGCAGAGAGCAGGGGAGTGGGCGTGGCCAGCACCATAACTGACAGGTCCATACTGAGAGCCAAGCTCACCTGCTCCTCCCCGCCAGCCTGACCTCCAGCACTTCCAGTACTTGGGAGGTGTTCTCACACCTACCTCACCCCTCTTTACTCAGTCCATTATTTACTGATCTGCTCCTCCGTCAAACTTCTTCCACTCTTCTCATCGCCATGGTGACCTTCCTGTCTGAACACTGGGCAGCAACCTCGACTGCCATCTCACCACCGGAGTGGTCTTTTTAAAGAACACACTGGGACGGTCACTCGCTCTTCAGTGGGTTCCACACACTGACTCTGAACCAAACCCCTACGCAGGCCTCAAGACCCTGCGCCGTGCAACTCGAGTACCCTCCACATTCTCTCCTGTGTCCGCCACTCTCAAGCTCTTCCCCAGACAGGACGGCGTTTTAGTTCCTCTCCAGAATGCTCACCAGCCCACCTTCTTGCCAGCGAACCCCTGCTCATCCTAGACAGCTCAGGTTAAGGGTCATCTGCTCAGAGGGGCCCAGGTCTAAACCGCATCTTCTGACACTCTCTCAGCACTTCACACAGTTGAGATTTTTGCTTGCATGTTGGTTTAACGTCCCTCTGCCCTGCTGGAAGACCACCTCTGCAAGGGCAGGGGTGTCTACCTGGTTCAGTGTTGAACTCCTAGGGCCCAGCACAGTGTCTGGCACTTTACAGAGTCTGAATAAATCCTGTGGCAGCTGAGGGCCACTAACTTTAAAAACAGCGCCCTGCAAACATGTGTACGTAAGTACATGGGAATGGTCTGGAAGGAATGAGGCCAAGCTAATCTTGGCTGCCTGTGGTGGCTGGGGAAGGGACCAGGAAAGGGAGTGGCGATGGGGTGTGCGTGCATGCACACATGTAAAGGTGAGGGGCATTGGCTTCATCTGTAATGACTTTACTTTTTACTAAACATTAATGAACAAATAAAGCATGTTCCAGGTCAGGGGAGACAGAGGGGATGGGCAAATGCCAAGCCACACTCACCAAGAACCAAAAAAACACCGTGACACTCTGCAATCCACTGGTGGGTTTGGAGTCTTCATTTTATTACTATGTCACCAGAAGTCACCACCTTCACTTGGTTCACCACAAATGGACAGATGTCATAGAGGAGGGTGCCATGGGGCCACACTGGATTCACTCTTGAGAGACTTAGCCAGGTGGTGGGGGAGTCCAGAGTGGGGGCCCAGGATGGGGACTGCCATTCACTGCACACACACACGCACAGAGATATATTTGTGGAGCCTTATATTATACATCTTATATATAGAAAATATATATATTTATACTATACACAGGCAGTAACGCTGCGGGAAGGGCCAGGGCACCCAGACAAGGGCTGTGGGCACCAGGGGATGGCGAGCGTCACATCAAGGGGCAGCGCTGGGAGACGGATGGACAAGTCCATCCTCCCACAAACTCTTGGGAGGCAGCTCCCCCTTTCTGCTCCTTAGAGAATCAAAGGGGTCTTGGGCCAAGGTTGGGGGCTCCCGGGGGGTAACGTGGGGGGAAGCCTGGGACCCCCAACAGTCTTCGAAGATCAAGAACCACCAGGGAAGGGTGGAGTGGGGAGCAGATACCAGCACCCTGGGAGTTAGTCCCTCAATTGTTACACACCCAGGTGGACCAGATGCCTGTGATGGAGCAGGATGAGTGTCAACTCGGAGACAGGAGACCTGGATCCCGAACCTCTGGCTCTGTGCTTGACTTTGGACAAGTCACTGTCTTCCTGGCCCAGACTCTACCACCCCTAAGTGTCCGTGCAGCTCTAAACTTGTGTGGAACCCAGTTTTCCTTGGCCCTCTCTTGCGCTTGACGGGAGGAGGGAGCCCAAACTCAGCAAGGTCGGGCTGCAGGGGTGCCCTTCTCCAAGGAAGGGCTTGGAAGCAAGGGGGAGGCAGAGGGGGGCAGCAGGGAGGGAAAAGGGGATACCGCTGGCCTGTGAGCACAGGCTCTAAGCTTGGGGCTCCCAGGGGGCTGTCCTCAGCCAACAGAAGGAGCAGGGCTTCCCCACCAACCACTCAGCAGGGGAGTCAGGAGCCCTGGGTCTCAATCAATTCCCGCCCTGCAAATCTCTGCTACTGTTTCTCAACCCCACGGCAGCACAGCCTGACCACGGGACCCTGTCTGGGCAGCACCCCAGGACTAGTGGGGAATGCTGAGAGATGATTCAGCAACCCCCAATCCTGGCAGGGCCTTGTAAATTTTCCCATTCTGGGGTGGCAGGTAGAGTCTGTAATAAACACCCAGCGACCGGGTTAAGTTTAAATGGTACCCTGCCCTCTAGCCCAGCATCACCAGAAGCTGGTCGGTGCCCAGGGGAAGAGATGGGCAGCACCCTGGGGTCTCCTGGTGCCCGTCAGCAAGGGATGTTTTTGGTGGGGAGTGGGTGAGGGAGAGGACTTCTCATAGAATGCTATGTGGGCACAGAGCTTCTCTCTGCCAGAAACACACCCACTCCCACCCTTACCTTTTTCGCAAACCGCTGCTCTGGTACCGGTTCCACTGCTCAACCTGGCAGATACCAGAGCCCCATCCTGTCCCCACTTGGGCCACCCAGGGGGAGAGAACCATAGATAGAGCCCCTTCCCCAGATGTGGAAAACTGAAGTCAGCAACAAGCAGCTGTCACTTGGCTGCCTGGGGTCCTCTCCCGTCACCACTGCCCCTTGGGAGGACTTGACCAGACCTGATCCATGCTCCACTGCTAATTCACGTGCTGAGCCTCAGTTTCCCCTTAAGTGGGGACAACGATGCTACTTCTCTGCCTAGGAAATTTCCTCTCCTTCCCTCATTGCCAAGCTAACTGCTGCCCATCCTCAGGGCCCCTCCTTGGGGAGCCACAGCCCGTCATGCACTCGCATAGCGCCTCACCCCTGTAATGGACCCTGGATACAGCTGTCGGTTTAATGCTCACCTCTGACGACTGTCAGCTCCTTGAGGGCAGGGACCCCACCCTCTATATTCCCAGCACAGATGCCCCATAACTGCCGAATCAACAGGCAAGTGAACAAATATTACCTGCCCCTTAGGGTTCTCGTGGGGGCTGGTGGTGGGAACACCCAGCACCGTGCTGACCTGCAATCCCAGTGCCCTGCTTTCCGAGGCACTGGCTGGTGGACGCTGGGCCCCAGGTCTCCCCACACCTCTCCCCTCTTCAAGGCCTCCCCAACCCTTAAGGCTCAGTAGAGAGCCCACGTTGTGTAAGAGTCCCTCCCTGTCCCCCACAACCCTCCCTGTGCCTTTGAGGACACCTGCCACCCTCTCCCCTACAGCCTGTGGCCTCCCGGAGCCTTCCACGCCCCAGGGGCTCTCACCGTTCATCTTGCTGGGTCTAGAGCCCGTCTTCCCATAGGGAGACCGGCCGTTGGCAGGCCTTCTGGAAGGCTTTGGCTTGGCTGTCCCAGCCCCTGGGACCCTGGCTGACCCCAAATGAGGGAAGATGACACAGTGTCCCAGATCAGTTCTGTTTCCTGGGAGGTCACAAGGGCAGGGAATGGGGCACCTGCTAGGTAGCTGGGACCAAGGAGACCAGGTAGCAAGCCCAGCCCTGCCACTCACTCACTGTAACCTTGGGCGACGTGCTCCCCATCCAGGCCTCCTTGTCCACTCAGCCCCGGGCAGGGACATAGCGAGCCCCTCCGAGAGGCAGGGACAGTGGTCAGTCGCCAGGAGGCCACAAAGGCGTGCTGGAGCTCCTGGCGGGATACGCACAGCACGGAGCAGCACATGGGAGCCAGGCCCGCCCTCCTGGGAGGCTGCCAGGGGAGGGGCTGGCGGGATGTGGGGAGAGGGGCCTGGAGGCAGGGCTGTCCCACTTGAGGGAACAGTCTGGGAAGAGCAGGCCCCTGGCTTGCAGCAGAATCAGGGTGTCTCATGGGCTGAGGTCCCCAAGCCCTCCCAGAGTGACGGTAGCACTGAGCGGTGGAGCCCCCAGCTTGGGGAGGGGGGATGGTGGGAAGGCCAGGGGACAGCAGGTGCTCTGCAGTCAGGGGGCCTGGGCTTGGCCCCATCTCTATCACTGGCTACCTGAGTGACCCTGGGCGAGTGACCTTGACCTCTCCAGGCCTCAGTTTCCTCAGCCATAAAATGGAGACAGGCCAACACTCCTAGCAGGGCGGTTGTATCACTCCTAGCAGGTGACAGCCCCCAGTGTCCTGTGGGTGCTCACACCCTGCAGCCAAACCTTCCCAGCATCCTCCCAGTCTAGTTTTCTCTCCATTCCTACTTCTGGTACCAGTAGGGCCTCCTCCACATCTCCTCTTCCCCATTTCCAGGGACCATTTGTCTTTCAGCACTCATGCCAAGCACAGGCCTGATATACAGTAGGTGCTCAACGAACGCTCGAAGACACAAGGAATGAATGCAAACACCCCAGGGCCCTGCTGGATACACCTGCACACACATGTGGATACCCCCCCAACACCTCACTGCCCCATCCCACCCGAGCTGCCCTGGACCTCAGTGGAACCACCTGGAGGGACCGGGTAGGGCAGCCTGGGAGGGAGAAGGGGGCCGGGTGTGAAGGGGAGCAGGGGGCAGCTGGGGCAGGTCACAGGCAGGCGGGGGGCAGGCGGTCACTGTGGCTCAGTAGCCCTGTGACTGGTAGCCCTGGGGCTCGGGCTCAAAGGCGCTGGCCGGCTGCTGGTAGGTGCCACCCATGCCGGCGGGGTCTGGCCCGGTGCTGGGCTCCACGTAGGGGGCGTAAGGCATGCTGGAGTCCTGGCTGGGGTCCATGTAGTCCTGGGAGAAGAGGGCCGAGTCTGCGCCAATCTGGTACCTCTGGAAGGCCAGCACAGCCTGGCCCGCCTGGGGACGGGGGTCGGCGGGGACAAGGACAGGCGGGAGGGGGTGGTTAGGGGAGAGACAGACAAGAGCACTGGGTTAGTAGAGGTTAGTCCACAGGACACAGGCAATAGAGGGTTAAATATCCTCAAAACACAGAAGATGAAACCAAGCTTGACTGGGGAGGAAGGAAGGCTGTCCTTGAAGCCAGCCCAGAACCACACTCTCTAGCCACAAAGAACTTCAGAAATCACCTGCCCTATAGCCCCTAATCCCAGAGGTCACGCTGGGTCAACAAAAATTCTAGAGTCTTCATTTTGGAGTGTTACAATGCCCCCAAGGCCCACAGCATCCTTCTCAAGATGTGTTCTTAGGGAGTTGGATGGAATGGAGAAAAAAGTTTTTGGTGGGACAGAGAAATGTCGGCATCTCCTAAAAGCTATTCTGTCTCTCTTGCAGTTAGGCATAGCCATATGACTAAGTTCTAGCCAATGGGTCACCCCCAAGTTCTCTGTCCCACCCTTTGACCTGATGCCTGGAATGCAGGTGTGATAGCAGGCGCTCTAGTTGTCATAATGGACCATGAGGTCCATGAGCCAAATTGTAGGGAAGGACGAAGCCTGGGTCACTAAAGGCTTCTGGGGCCACTATGCCAGCCCTAGACTGTCTTCCCAGACTTAGACTTTGTTTAAACCACTGTCATTTGTGATTTCTGTCATTTGTCGCTGAACCTAATTCTAACTGAAATGCTTCACCAAACAAGTTTGGGAAACTGAGTTAAATAGAAGACTATAGGACTTGTCAGAGCTTTGACTAATGACTAATATATGCTGGGATCCCCAAGGGGAAAACTATGGCAAGCAACATTTGCCAACCTTATCCAACCACTGAAGCCTTTTTCATAGGACCCAGTTGGGAAAGACTTGTCTACCGCATAAATGCATAGGCGGGAAGTTCTTTTCCAGTAAAAGCAGTTACATTGTTATGAAGGACAATGACACTGATCACACCAAGCTAGGGAATAAATTAAACCTGTCATTAAATGACAATGTTTATAGGTTTGCACTGAAAGTCTTCTCCAGAGACCTTCCCGATCCAGGTAATCTGCCTGTGATGGGAAAATGCTAATGTTCTACATACCCTTGTTTGGGGTCTGGGAAGACTGAGGCCTAGAAAAGGGTGGCCTCATGGCAGTCAGTGCCAGAACCCAGACCTGAACACAGGGGTCCTGCCCCTTCCCAGGCCACGGCCCTCCCCACCTCCTTCCTTTTGATCAGCCTGCTGACAAGGCACTAAGTCAACCAGGAACCCAAAAGGGTCAATGGGTGAGAGGCAGGGGGGAGAAGGGCCAGGGGCCTGGGAAAGGCAGACCAGGCCTCAAGGAGGTGGGCTGAGGAAGTTAGGAGTGGCCCTCCTGTATTTTCCACTATGTTGGTAAGAGGTCCTGGCTGTGGGGGCACTCGGATGCAGGAGCCTGGAGAAGCAGGGAGGTGGAAAGTCCCCCCTGGGGTACCAGCAACGTTGTCAGCACCCTTGAGCCATCAGTGAGCCCACAAGAGCACAAGGGGAATGAATGAATGAATGAATGAGTCCCTGAGAGGAACTTCTGCAGACCTGGTCCTCCCACAGCTCCCTGGCTCCACTGGTGTCTGCACGGAGGCAGAGGGCTGGAGCAGATGACCTCTGCAGACCCTTCCAGGAAGGGGCCTCTAGCTACAGGCACCTAGTGCTATATCTGTGGTCACTCCTCCATCCCCACTGAGTCAAGGCCTCCCTTAGCCAGCCAGTTCAAAGAGCCACAGACAGGAGCCATGGAGGGGTCTGGGCCCCTGCTGGGCTGGGGTGCAGAGGTGAGGCTGGGCATTCTGTTCAGAGCCCAGGGACCTGGTGGTCCACCTGGCCCTGCTTCTTCAGAGCAGGCGCACTCTCTGTGGCATTTCCACCGTGCAGTGCTTTGCCCTGGGGGCCAGTTTGTACTCCAGGGCAGCAGAGGGAACCTGTGTAGAAATGGGGGCCAAGGTCCTTTGGAAGAACAGGGACTCACCACACGGGAATCACTCCCAAAGTAGAGATTATGAAGGTGTCCTTGACTCCTTGGAGAGAATGAATGAATGAATGAATGAATGAACAAAAGAACCTACATTTATTGAGCATCTCTGTGCCAAGCCCTGTGCCAAGCTTTGCTTCATCTGTGCAACAGCCCTGAGAGGCTGGTCCATTATCACTCCTCAGTCCAGGGAAGCAGACTGAGGCTCAGAGAGGTGCACAGGTCTGCCCAGGGTCACAAAGCACATGAGAGCAGAGCCAGACCATGAGTCTTCTGATGTCCTGGGCCAGACACCCCTTGGCAGCCAGCCTCCACGGGGACTGGAAAATCGGCCTTCATGTTGCAGCCATGGGACGGGCTCTCAGCCCACAGCTCGGCACCCTGACAGCCCACGTGTGGAGCCACCTCCAGCCCTTCTACAACCTGTGCAGTACATTTGGGGGAGGTTTCGGTTTGTCTGTCTTCGCCTCCCCAGGATGTGGGCTCCTGGGGCCAGGGACCACATCTGACTCATCACTACGCACAGAGCAGTTGCTCAATAAATGTTTACTGAATGAATGGACACATGAAGAATAAACAAAGGAGGCAATGAGCGAATGGTGAGTCTTAACTGGCCCCTCTAGCCACCTTTCCACCGCCCTGCACGCCCTGGCATCTTGGCCGGTCCAGGAAGTGGGCTGCCCCCCAACCTTGCCACTGGGCATGATTAGGGCTCCCTGCCTCTGGAAGCCGGGCGGGCCTACGGCTGTGCTGAGGTGGGAAACAGTGTGCTGTACTCCTCCTGGAAGGTAAGGTCCTTGAATCTCCGCACGGCCAAGGCAGCGGTCAGGCTCTGCCAGGAGAGAGCAGGGGTGAGGCCAGCGGGGAAGAACAGGGAGAGGCAGAGGTGCCAGCAGGGAGGCTGACTGCAGTGGGCTGGTGGGCACCTGTCAGTCAGGCTTTCAGACCCACCCCTGGAAGTCGTGGTGTCCAATCACCCACTCCTCCTCTTCAAGCCCTGCCCCCAAGAGAAAAGGGATAGCCAGGAGCCCAAAAAAAGGAAGAAGTCTAGGACAGGCCCAGGAGGGCAGGGGGGACAGGGAAGGCTGGCTGCAGCAAGGCTTCACAGGAGGGGTCAGGACAGCTGGAAGGTCTGGAGGGAAGGGGGCACTGTCAGAGGGGAGGTGAGAACCCTTGGGATGTGGGAACGGAGCCTATATAACCCCAGATATCTGCAGGAGGGAGACGAGAGAAGAAAAAATAAATCAAGAGGACCTGGAACCAGTGGGAAAGAAGGACCAGCCTTGCTGTCACGCTGATGGGTGCTCAACACCACTCGGTCTAGAGCCTGCAAAGGGGTGATCTCTGGCCAGTGGGGCCCAGAGACATGCTTTTTTGGACCCACACAATATATTTTTTTAAACTTGAACAAATTGCTAACACATAAAGATCAGATTTCTCATAGAAATTCAGACTTCTGGGCTCCCTGGGAAAACAGGAAGACCTGGCCTCTGTGGGTCCCCATTACTGCTCAGAACAGGGGCCGGGCAGAGGGTACCCTTTTAGGACGGTGTGCACATGCCACCCGGTCCACTCACGCCTTCTCACATCCTGCCTGCCCCGTGGCCATCTGCGTTTGTGACACACCCCACAGCAAATCCAATCTCCCCACTTTACAGATGGGAAGACAGAGGCCCAGAAAATTAGAGGCAGCCCCACAATTTGACCCAGGTCTCCTGACTCTCAGCTTGGGCTCCTTCCCTGCCTTGAACCTCAAGGCCTTAACTTCCCATCTAGGCCTCAGCTTTGTCATCTGTAAAAGGGGACAGTAAATACCTACCATCCAACTATTGGAGTGGCTGGGAGGGGAGTCCATTACCACAGGAATGGTGCTCTGCACCAAAGCCAGGGTCTGCCACCACCACCTGACTGTCTTTGCTGGACAGTCTCCTTCCTCAGGGAGCAGCCCCGCCATGAGCATTGAGGAGGGAAGCAGAACAGAGTCCGTGGCTATGCTCACGGGAGCCTGGCTGGGGCCGGCGAGTGTGGGCTGGGTGGGCGGTGTACTCACCCATGTGAAGATGGAGAAGAAGGAGAAGGCGATGGCAGCCCGGGCCGCGTCTGTCCCTTCGTTCAGCGGGCTGTCCTTGGAGACCTGCCACTGGTTGGCCAGGTAGCAGAAGCCCACGAACCACAGGAAGGCCCAGAAGGCTGGGGTGTGCGCGGGGCCAGGCGGACGCCCGCGTGGGGAGAGAGGGCGAAGAGGGAGGCGATTGGAAACCGAGGAACGGGGGACGTTCAAGAGCACGTCTCCCACGCTCCCCCACCCCCAAAGGGAGAGGAGGTGGGGGTCAGAGTGGGGAGAGCACAGGCAAGGTGCAGGCGGAAACAGAGAGGCCGGTCAGATGCAGAGCGGGAGAGAGACCACAGAAAGGAACCAGCCAGGCCGGGAGCAGATCCAGGGAGGGCCGGGCAGTGAGAGGGAGGGAGACACAGAGGGGAGGAAAGACAGAGAAAAGTCAGTCAGCCTCGGCCGGCGTGTCTCTAACCTCAGCCAACACACATTTCCTGGCTGAATCCCTGACTGACCCATGGTCCACCCTGAGACCTGCAGCTCTCTGGGAGGAGCGTCCACCCAACCCCGCAGCCTCCCAGAGAACTGGGCAGGGGAGGATGAGGGGACGCCAGAACCAGCAGGTCTGAGTCTCAACCACTAGTGTGACTGCAGCCTCACAAGGCCCCGAGGTTAGTGAGGGGCCCTTGGAGAGCCGAGGTCTGGGGAGTTTAGTGGTGCGAGCCTTGTGACAAGATCTCTAGATGCCCACAGTCTATCCATAGAAGTCCAGAGCTGCTCAGGATAAAAAGCGTGTGTGCCGGGGGTGGTGCCTAGAGCCTAGCCCCTCCCAGAGACACTGCTGGGGAACCCAGGGGCTCCATGGAACAAAGTTTGAGAACCACTCATGTCATTCTAGTTCCTTCAAGTCTAAGGGACCCCGGGCCTCACTGCCTGCAAGCCAGGCACATCCTGACAGTCCTGGGGCCAGGAAGTGGGGGGAGGTCCCAGCCAGACACCTGAGACCACAACCCCAGGCCAAGGACACCAAATCCAAGCACCCTCCAATCAGTCTCTCGGAACTCATGGGGACAGAGACCAGGGTACTTCTGCCAAAGGCCATTTCTGAAGGGCAGGGGTGGCAGGTCACGGTGGCTCCCCAGCTCCAGGTCCTGACCCTCCCGGGGTACCTACTGTGTGCTAGGGCCTTCAGCCATCGCCTTGCTTACTTCTCACGGGGCTCCACCAGGGAAGGGGCCAGAGGAGGCCACTGAAAGAAAGGGTAACTCCTCTGGTCGTTGTGCTCCCCTCCCCGCATGAGCTATGGGCTGTTCTGGGGTCTCAGGCCCAGCCCTGGTCCCACCCTTCCCTGCTGCCAGCCCTGTGACCCCAAGTCTGTCTCTTCACCTGCCTGTACCTCAGTTTCCCCATCTGGAAAATAGGGAGAAGGGTGGCAGCCGCCTCCCAGGTGTGCGTGGGGGTGAGGAGGACCACGGCCAGGACAGCCCCCTGCGGACTCTGTTGCGCTGGGGTTGGGGGGTGCCCACTGGGATGGGGGCTCACCCGAGACGCCGATGTCGGACAGGACGGCCTTCTTACGGTCCTTGACACTGCTGATCTGTGGGAAGTACACGTCCAGGGCCAGGTAGAGCAGGCAGGTGAGGAAGGCAAGCACGCCCACGGTCACGCCGTAGCCGCAGGCATTGGGGTTGCGGTTGTAGATGCAAAACTCCTCGCTCTCTGAGGGGCTGTTGAGGTAGCCCTCATTCACAATGGAGCCGAACACCACGATGGAGAACACCTGCGGTGGCGGGGGAGGGGCAGGGGCAGGCGTGAGACCCCTCCCAGTACCAGCCCCAGGGGAGGGGAGGGCTGCCAACCCCCTCGGCCTGCTGCCTGCCTCTCTGTGAGCCCTCTTCACCCCAAACAGCCACAGGGCCGGTGTTAAGCATGCGTTTCAGAGGGCAGGCCCAGAGAGGGAGGGGAACTTGCTTGGGGTCACACAGCACAGGCGGGGTCAATCGCCTTCTTCTTCAGCTGCAGGCACTGAGGACCCTCTGACCACAGATGTGGCCCCACTCCCCTTCCAGCCAGGTGCTGAGAGGTCTTCCTGGGCCCTGATACCACAGTTCCTCTAGGACTGGACCTGGCCTCCCAGGAGAAGAGGTCTCAGCCCTCTGGGTGGTAAACTGCCAAGCCAGCAAGCCCCCAGCTGATTCCTCCGGATGTGGGCACGTGCCCAGCCCCATTCTGTGCTCCCCTCTGCTCTGCAGAGCCACGGGCTGTTCTGGGGTCTCAGGCCCTGTCCTTGGTCCCACCCTTCCCTGTTGCCCAGGCCGTGACAAGTGGAAAGAATGATAAATGAAAAAAATACAACAGTCACAATCCTGTCAATTACAGAGCAACAGGTCAATTACTTGCAGGACCCCAAGTGTAACATGTGTTACCTCCTTAAGTGCCCCCAACAACTTCCAAGACAGGTCTATTTCAGCTGGGCTGGCAGCCAGCAGAGGTGGTCCCCTAAGACCCCACCTCCTGGTATTCCGCGTTTGTGCAATCTCCTTCCCCTAGACTGTGGGCTGAGCCTAGCGATTTGCTTCTAAACAAACAGAATATGTCAAAAAGTGACGGGATGTCACTTGTGCGAGGAGGTTACAAAGACCTGGCCTCCATCGTGCTCACCCCCTCCTGACTCCTCTCACTTGCTTGCTCTGATTGAAGCAGCTGCCAGGTTTTGAGCTGCCTTATGGAGAAACACGTGCAGCATGGAACTGAGAGGCCTCCAGTCAACAGCCAGCAGGGAACTGAGCCCCGCGGCCCACAGGGAACGAGTCCGGCCAGCACCATGTAAGTGAGCTTGACAATGGATCCTCCCTCAGCCTTCAGATGAGACCGCAGCCCTGGCTGACACCATGATGTGAGAGGCAGTGGCACCTCGCTAAGCAGATTCCTGGCCACAGAAACTGTGAGATAACAAATGTTTGTTGTTTTAAGCCACTACATTTTGGGGTGTCTTGTTACACAGCAGCAGCTAACGAAGACAATCCATCACCGGCATTTTGCAGATGAAGCAGGGAAAGTATAGGTATTGGTTAATGTGCCCAGAGTCACACAGCTGGTACGTGGCAGAGCTGGCTTCAAACCCAGGGACCTGACTCTGAAGTTCATGCTTTTTCCTCCTACCTCTCGCCTCCCCAGAAACTATGATTATGAGGAGGCCCAGACCCAACTGACAAACACACAAACAGGAAAACAGAACCTCAGATGTGGCCTACAGTGAACTTGAGGTGCAGGCTGCAGAGGGTTTATTGTCCATTTTCCACTTCACTTTGCTTTCCAACTTTTCTATAATAAGGAACTAGAATTTCAATATGACCCAGACACATTTTCGTCCTTAGCTAACACCTATGATGGGAAGTGACTCCAGCGCAGGTGTGAGAAAAAATATAAGAAGCATCATTTTTTAAATTGTATCTTTTTAAGATGTCTACACTTTACATGGGTTTTATAATGTACTGGACATATTAGTGTAGCAGTAATATATATAAAACAAATCCACATTTTTTATTGAAGTATAGTTGATGTACAATATTATATAAGTTACAAGTATACAATATAGTGATTCACAATTTTTAAAGGTTATATTCCATTTATAGTTATTATAAAATATTGGCTATAGTCCCTTGTTGTACAATAAATCCTTGTAGCTTATTTTATACGTAATAGTTTGTACCTCTTAATCCCCTACCACTATATTGCCCCTCCCCACTAGTAACCACTAGCTCGTTCTCTATATCTGTGAGTCTGCTTCTTTTTTGTTATAGTCACTAGTTTGTTGTGTTTTTTAGATTCCACATATAAGTGATACACAGTACTTGTCTCTCTCTGTCTGACTTATTTCACTTAGCATAATACCCTCCAAGTCCACCCATGTTGCTGCAATGGCAAAATTTCATTCTTTTTTATGGCTGAGTAGTATCCCATTATATATATATACAATATTTACCACATCTTCTTTATCCATTCATCTGTTGATGGACACTTAGGTTGCTTCCATTTCTTGGCAACTGTAAATAATGCATGAACATTGGTGTGCATGTATCTTTTCAAGTCGGTGTTTTTGTTTTTTTCACATATATGTCCAGGAGTGGAATTGCTGGGTCATATGGTAGTTCTATTTTTAGTTTTTTGAGAAACGTCCATACTGTTTTCCACAGTGGCTGCACCAATTTACATTCCCACCAACAGTGTATGAGGGTTCCCTTTCCTCCACATCCTCGTCAACATTTGTTATTTGTGTTCTTTTTTT